ACCCCAAAAAAATTTTTCAAAAAAACCCACCGGGGGGGGGAAAAGGGGGGGGTTTTTTTTTGAAGGGTTTGGGGAAAAAACTAAAAAAAAAAATTAACCCCGGGGTTTCCCTTTGGGGGGGGCCCCCCCCCACCCGGCCTCCGGGGGTTTTTTTTTAAACCCCCGGTTTTTTTTCCCCCCCCCCCGGGTTTTTTTTTTTTTTTCGGTTTCCCCCACCCTTTTTTTTGGTTACCCCCCCCCCCCCCCTCCAAGTTATAACAACAGCCCCCCCCCCCCCCCCCTCACTTGAAAGCACAGGCTCCGTGGTGATCATCCTGGGAGTGCAGACCTCCTCCCCCGTGGGCAACACCGCCCGGCACTCCAGGCGGAGGCAGTGCCCCACGTCTTCCTCCTTCGGCGTGTACAGGCTGTCCGCAGAGATCTTCGTCCACTCTTCCTCCTCGTCCATCACTGACGGGACGACGCGAGCGAGCAAAGCGTTTCGTGTGAGGCGTGTGCCTCGTTGTGTCTGCTTGTGATGGCCAACGGACGCTTCGTTTGTGCATGTGTTGTGAGAGTTTGTGCGTAGCCCATGATTCGAACGAACGCTTCGTGTGTGCGTCCTGTGTGTGACGTGTGTGAGTGTGTGCCCCGTTGTGTCGCTTGTGATGCAAACGGACGCTTCGTGTGTACACGTGTTGTGGGAGTTTGTGCCTAGATCATGATTCCAACGAACGCTTCGTGTGTGTGTCGTGTGTGAGTTTGTGCCTCATCGTCAACCCGTGATGATGCGAACGAACGCGTTGTGTCGGGTGACCGTGTAATGACGGCGAAAAGAGAACCAAGCAGAGGGGTGTTCGGGGGGCGTCGTTTGCCACGCTTCTCTCCCGGAACGAAGGACGGCTTCTACTCCCGAAAGACACAGCACAGTTGTCGTTTCTGCCATACTTCACACATACCATGGAATATACCATGGAACGAAACTCATGGAGATTTCCATTTCTGACCCTTCGTGCCCGAAGTCCGTCTCCTAGAGTACTGGATAATAACCCAAATCATATCCCTAACCCGACCACGATTTGCATGTCAAATCCACATATTTTTGTCGATCTCTGTCCTCGAGAGCGGGTCGTTTTGACCTGTATTTCACCTTTCCCGTACCCAAACGACTTATCCCCTCTGGCCATACCACACTGGCCTGTCTTCCGTCACAACAGAGCTCTCGCGCCCCACTAGCTGCATTCTTCAAAGAGCGTTCATCGGGCAAACAATGGCGCGGTCGGATAAAAAACAACTCCGCTATTGTACACAAATCCTTCCAGGACGTGACTCGATACAAACCCACACCTCTTCATACAAAACGACTGCCACACCGCCACCGCCACCGCCAACAACACCACCAAAGAGAAGCCGAGGACAGATACGAGTCAGCTCCAACCCCCCCCCCCTCTCCATCCAACAGCACCAACAGCAACACAGAAAAACAGGGACATGGACGAGACAGCTCCAACCTCCCCCCCCCCATCATCCACCGCCAACAACACACAGAGGCAGAGACAGGTACGAGTCAGTAGCGAAGCAGGGACACACACGAGTCATTCCAACCCCCCCCCCCGTCCCGTAGTACCCCCCCTCCCCGCCCCCTCCCCTCTCACCTTGCGCGTTGATGGGGACATCCTCCTCCTCCTCCGGCTTGAGCAAGTCCTCCCCCCCTTCCCCTTCCCCCCCTGCTCCGGCAACGACTACCGCCTTCTTCGGGCTCAGGGAAAACTCCGAGGCCGCTGGTGGCTGCTCCTTCCCCGTGGCCAGCGCCTGCTGCCGCCGGACGTGCTCGTGGTGCTGCCGGTGGCTCTGCCAGGCCTCCTTGAAACACCTGTTGTGGTTGTTGTTGTTGTTGTTGGTGTTTGCCGTTGTCTGTGTTAATTGTTGTTGGTTGATGGTGGTAGTGCTGCTGTTGAGGAAAATCTTGACTTTCCCAGCGCTGGTGGTCGCTGGCTTCTGATACAAGTACTCTATAATCTACAATCAGGCGGCCGGCACAATGTAGTCGGCTCTTGCCACGTTGTTGTTGTTGTTGTTGTTGTTGTTGTTGTTGCGGTTGTTTTTTGTTGTTGAGGGAAACTCGTAATTCTCCCAGGGCTTCTGGCTTCTGATGCAGCTACCCCTGCCGTCCAAGTCAGTCTTCTCCGCGACCCCCTTCCGGAGCGCCCCGCAGACAACAAGAGGTCATATTACCCTCCCACAGGCTGACGTGTTTCACTGGTCGCCGCCGTGGGTTCACTCCAGAGCGGGTGCCCTTGTTCCACCCAAAACCGGTCTCTTTTTCTCCCATCAGCGTCAAAACCATACACACAGACAGCCGTCGCAAAACCACAAGGTCAAGACACCGCGACACAACCATGCAACACACACGCAACACACACTTGGCAACTCACGTCACGTTGCAGAACACCGAGCGGTGGCGCGGGACCCTGAGCTTGTGGCACGGGACGCACTGGATGCGGGTTCCCTGCAGAGCCCACTTGGACCACTCCAACGGGCTGAAGCTGTTGGCTCGCGGACAGCTCGCGTTAGCGCAGACCTGGGGATCAAGGCAGTCCGGCAGTGTGGTTGGTTCAGTTTGGTTCGGTTTTGCGTCGGTTTTGGATTGGGTTTGGTCGCGCTCGCCGGCGAAGGTACGCACAACAGCAGTACCAGTTTGTTTTAGCACGAACGCTGGTGCGATCAATAGCACCAAGGAGCTGCAGGGGCGATCACTTCAGGACCGAAGGGGCGGGACGAAGTCTGCGCCCGCGAGAGAGGAAGCGAATCGCTCAGACCGAAGCGTCTACACGCCATCCTCAACAAGTTACTCACGCTCCTGCCATGTCATATATTCTCCTGGTTATTAGAAGTGTGTAACCGTTTTAGGGGTAGTAGGCCTGTGACCACGGAAGGCGTCCCCGTAGTTGGACCGGTAGTAAGTTAGATACTGAGTAGAGACCGGAACGGAAATACTAATGCGAAGACGACAACGACGACAACAACAACAACGACAACAGCCACAACATCTAGCCCGTTCGGCTCTACGGAGAGCGGTTGCAACGGCGAAGTCAGGCCAAAATCATGCACAACAGCACCTCCTGCTGGCCATGTGTTACATGTGGGCGGATCAAGACACCGAGAGTCCAGCCCCTCTACTCGAGCGCATCCTCGCGAAAATGAGCGGGTATGCTCACATGTTGCACCGCATCTCTACTAGCGACCTCGAGAGAGGCGAAACTTCCAAACAACCTTCGGTGGAGGCAGTAGGGGCGCTCAAAAACGACCGATGCTTCACATCGCTTCCATAGCTGGAACGATTGCCTAGCCACATGTCCTCCACCAATTGGATCCAAAGCCTGCGAAATTTACTCGGCCTGTTGATAGACCAAGTCCTATGTGTGGACAGGAGTAGACGACAGCGGTCCCTTTACGTAAACGTGACACCATTGGGCGCCACATTAATCCGTCTAGATAGACGAGGGTCACCAAGCCTCTGTCCATCAATCCAACCAGCGCCGGCGGCGTCCTTGTGAGGGGTCTACAACTAAGTCCGTGGTACGTTTGCAAACGGTGTAGGACTACCTTTCATCCAACAGTCCCGTATTCTTGACAGGAGAGCCCGAGAGCTCGAGAGTTCGAGAGAGAGAGAGTGAACTCTAAAGATAACTCTAGGGTGCTCTCAAAAAGATCGGCTGTTCGGCGGAAGCAGAGAACCTTTCGCATTGTCCGGGTCCATGAAAAGGGGGCTCGCGTGTGTGATACATCTACATGTGTACTCGTGCTTCGCCTAAGGACACCAAAATTAAGGCAACTCCATCCGTCAAGGGCAACTTTTTCTTCACAGGCATGGTGGCTCGCAGAATGTACAACATGCGGGGTATCAACCTTCAAGACACTTCCCCGGCTCAAGGACACTTGTCTGTAGCAAAACACCACGTGTGTCCTTACCCGAGGTACGACTGTATGTACATATCACACCTTCTTCGACGGGAGCCAGGGTGGTAACTTCCGTCAGCCGCAACTCACAACTCACACGTGATCATTCAGATAATCTCTATCCATTTCTAACCGCACTTGGAGACTGGCGTCTCCGTTCATTGGTCAGCCAGCCGGTTGGCGCGCTCGAAGCAAACACACAAGCAAAAACACATCCCCTTCCGCTGTGATCATGTCTCGAAGGGGCATGTGGGCTTTCTGTGTTTTACTTTCTCTAAACATGACACACACACACAGTATGACCTCTAGAAGCATGTTGTGTTTTCAAACGCCCTTGAGACTGGCGTCTTTTCATCGGCCAGCGCGGTCGAAGCAAGCACAAACACACACACACACACACACACCTGTCGCTCTGGCCCTCGACTCCACGTGTACTGGAAGCGGTGGTCCGTGTTGCTGTAGGCCTTGTTCGCCACCCCCGTCGTGGTCATGAGCTTCGAGTACACGTACACCCGCGGGCGCAGCTGGCACCCCTCCAGGGGCCGGTCCAGCCGCAGAGACAAGTAGTTCGACACGTGCCCTACCGCCACCCCCGTCGACGCGTCCACCGCCCCCGCTCCGGCGGCGGCGGCGATTTCCCTCTGCGCCGCGGCCTGGAGAGCCGACAGCTCCCCTTGCTTGGGCTTGGGGCTTCCATTGGGGCTCAAACCCGCCCGGGTGGCCGGCGACATGCGAGTGTGTCCTCACTGCCCCCCCCCCCCCCCCCCGCCAACACCTCTGGGTTCGCCCTTGTGTGTGACTCTCTTGCGGATGCTCAACGCCCTGAGCCCAAATTCTGACTCGACCGAAAGGGGCTTGCCGAGAAGTTTTAGAAGATCTCTCGAAAGCAGCGCAAGGAACTCCGAAACCGAAAGACGAAGGTCAAGGCGAACCACCCCGGCCATTGTTGGTACTGAAAAGAAGAAGTGAACGTTTTCATCCTGTGCTTAGCATCTTTG